TGATTTAGTGAAAATAAAATATTTTTGCAGCAAAAAAAAATGGTAGAATATGGACAGACTTGGATGGATCCAGGCCCCAGAGCTCGTGCTCACTCCCTATACTGCCTCTACTGGTGGCAAAGATTTTGTCCCCACAGAACATGAGACAACAGAACAACACAAAGAGGAAGCATCTCTTTTCAATATGACAAGGACCAAAACAGAGGCAGAAAACTTTTCAAACAATACATACGTACATGCTCACTATTTTTTTTTCTGTAAATTCAGAAACTGCTTTTCATTTTGTGGCAAAATATATATAACAAAATATTTGCCATTTGAACCATTTTTAAATGTTAAATTCAGGGACATGAATTACATTCACCATGTTGCGTAATCACCCCCACTCTCCATGTCCAAATGTCTTTCATCACCCCACACACAAACTCAAGGCCCCTTCAGCAATAACTCCCTATATCCCCTTTCCCTCCAGCACCTGGAAACCACTAATAAACTTTTGTCTCTATGATATGATACTGTTCTTAACACTACTTTTAATTTATTTTTTCACTTCCTCAGTCTCTGAAATTACCTTTACATAGAAGTTCCCTTCAGTGGAAGTATTAAACAGTAGGCCCACTTATAAATCAACCACTGGATGAAAGTGTGCCCCATGCCTGAGTTCCACACAGCATGGTTGAGCCACTGAACTACATCCAGCAACCGTCTTTTCCCAGTCTTCTTATTACTTGAGAAAAAGAAGCTCCAATTTCTATAAGCCCCTAAAGTCAGTTTTCTGTTGCCTGCAGCTGAATGCACTCCAAATGGAAGCAGTTGGCTTGTTCTCAGGTAAGTGAAAAGAAAATCAACTTTCTGGTAATTTAGGAGGTCGGCAGATAATTGTGGTTATAGTTAAGTTGGTTATAGTTAAATGTGGAACACACAGGAATCAGATTGACTATATCTGTGGCAAGAAGCAGTGGAAAAGCTCAATATCTTCAGCCAAAACCAGGCCAGGAGCTGATTGTGGAACAGACCATCAACTGCTCATATGCAAATT